TGGCCAAAGAAGGCATTCAATCGCTTACGGTGTTTCTTAAAGATGAATATTTCATTCGAAAATCCGAAAATCCATTCTTCCTTGATGAGAGCGCCATCCCACACGAGGACGAGCGTCCAACGAAGCTTCACATTCATAAGCGGCGAACATACGATCGCGAGTGTACAAATGTGCGTGCACACAAATGCACGCATCTCACGCTCGTTCTTACTTGCATTTGCGTATGTATATATATATATATATATATATATATATATATATGTATATATATAGGCATAGATATCGTGTAGGCACACGTTCGCGCGTATTCACGTGTGTACGTATGTCAGTATGCGTGCGTACGTGCGCACGAGTGTGGGAACGTGTAAACACAGGCGCAAGGGCGTATGCATACAACACATTGTAAGAGCATGCGAGATCAGCGAGATGTCGTCCAGCACTCGGTTTGTTGCGAAATATGTCGACGAGGTGACGCGACTTGAAAAGTCGGGCTTGGGCATCGGCTGCAATTAAAGGTTGCGAGCCACGGACTTTCACAGTCTGTCGGGTTTCGGCACGTCAAGTTCGAGGGAGTTAGCTAAGCTCAGCGGCGCCCGGTCGGAAGATCGTCGAGTCCGTCCACTTACTACATGTGGAGGAGGCGGCTACGTCGTCGTCGTCGTTGTCGTCGTCGTCGTGAGTCGTTGGACCGCGCGATTCTCCCATGTGTCGAAAAGTGCGTACGGTAAATAGATCAGTTTCAGTGCTCCCGACTTCTCGGCTTCTTCTAATTTTTTTAAGTGCATTTATCGTAATTATCGAAAGGGTTGCCATGCGCTCGAATGTGCCTTTTTGTGCAGACCTTTGCTCGAGGAGAGGATGGTAAAATTTGAGAATATCACATAATATTGAAGCTGCGCTAGAAGGTAGTTAATTATAAATTGACGTCGACAATGCGATTGATTATAATAAACTTCCTATTTTTGTGGTGCTCTTCTCGGGGATTGGATTCTCTACTCAGTAATGCTCTTCATTTATTAACATCGCGCTCGATTTACTCTGCCAATTGCTAATTTTTCATTGTTAATTTTCTAATTAATCCTTAAGACGACGAGAAGTTATTTAACGTGCTTTCTTTTATTTTCATTTGCTTGTTAATGCGCATCATTTGCGAAGGCACGACGACTTTGCCGACGATTATTCTCGTCGTGCAGGGCACATGTTAAATTATTTTAAATAAAAATAATAATGAAGGAAAAACGGTTAAATATTCGAAACATTCATTCGCCACAATAGCCATGCGATATTCTGTTTCAAGCGAAAAAAAACAACGTTAATTTTTCCCTACGTTTTGTTTACAGCGTGAGGTTAGGATAGAATAGAAGAAGAAAGCTCATTGGAAAAGTGCACGACGATGCAAGTAATTTACTAATGTGCATATTGCAGAGGATAGGTGCGAATCACTTCGATATTTCTTAAATTTGCATGAAAATTAATAGACAAATAACAATGCTCGTATTAAACTATGAATTTCCTCAATAAATGAATTATTTAATAATAATGTTTCATTGGTCGGAATTCAATAGATCGGTTTGTGTAATAAATTATAAATAAAAGAATTAAAATCAAAACATTCGATTGGCTTGCACTATCATAATGACATACCATACAAACAGTTAATTATATGTTTGTAATTATGAAATTACGAAACCAAGGGTACAATTTTTATAATGCATATGGAACTCTCCCCCCCCCCCCCCCCCCCCCCACCGACTTTACTTCCTTTATTCGTTAATTATTCAATGCTTCAAAGACTAATAATAATTATTACTGAAGTATTTTTTAAACAGTTAATAAAATTAATATGATTATAATAATATGATTAAAATATGATAATAGTTATGAACATTAATGATGAAATCTATTAAACCTTTATGGTTTCAAAGTTAATACATTTAATTCCATACAGTCGTGAATTATACATATATGTATACATATATACATATGCATGCCACTATAATTATAAATTTATTAAAATATTTAATAAATCGTACAATGCATATTAAAATCATGCAGTATTCATCTTTGAAAAAATTGTTACATAATTTTCTTAATGATTTAATTTGATAGCGCTACATGCATATTGTAATATAAATCTATAAAATAATGAAGCATTATAGGGAGAATATTGTAATATTGTGTGTTATAAATTATATAATTTATATGATTTATATTATATATTATATTTATGATGCTTTCCTTTTAAATTTTCTTTTTCTTTAACTTCCTTATATACTCATAAGAATATCCATAAAACAAAATCCCGCTATTTATTAAAAGCATATTTTTATGTTCAATTTTACATTGTTAGGCTGTAATCAAACTTCCAGCGAAAGTCATCTCAATATATAAAACAACGCTACCCATAAATTATATGATATTATAGGGTACTATTGCATATAACATTTTGTTAACAAGAACGCCGCATCGAAATACTTGATTATATAGATGTCCATTAATTTTTTTTTTTTATTACGTATTCCTAGATAAAGTCATCGTATGATTTGAAACTACATACGAATATTTATCAGTAACGAAAGCACTTAAGTATATATATATATATATATATATATATCTACATACGTGCCTAAGAGTGGACAAAAGAGACGGGACGCAACGACGGCGTTTCTCGATAATTCTCGTCATTACTCATGTATAAGCATACTTATTTGAGTAAAGCATCAAGGATGCATACATGTATATCGTATCTTATACTTACGCGAACGAATGGATTCTCTGATACTTTTTCGTCATCTCAAGTGCTGATAATACATGATGTTCATTATATCTATAGGAGTGTATAGGTAACACGTAGTTTTTATCTTCATCATGGAGATGTTATTCGTTGCATTTGTTTACAGTTTTTTTTATCAAGATATATATATATATATATATTTTTTTTTATAAAAGTTTTATTAAGATCTGACCGCACTATTTGATTTTTTTATGAACGAATAATTATGATTATTCAATTAAATATTGTCGTAACAGAAACATGATATTATTTACCTGCAACATCATTTAATAAATAAAGTAACAATAAATACTTTTTGTAACAATAAATGCTTTTAAATACTTATTGAAGGATAGGACGAACGAATAAATTATATTATATCCCGAAGATCAGAATATGTATATGATATATATACATGTACCGCTGACGTAAATTATAGACTATTTTTCAATTTAATATAATAAGCGATGAGATACACAGTCGTCTATAGTAAAAACTGATACACCATCCAGTGAATTGATACACGCCTACAGATGATACAAAATCCCTTATAATAAATTGTAATACATATACATTGATAATTGGCGTTTTATGTTATGCTATATCGGTGGTGGCATCGTTTATAGCCTTAGGTTAAATAATCTTGTAGAAACTACGAGTTCATACATTTTATTTAATAAAGGTTTTCAAAGCTTTTTAAGAAATACAAAGAATTAAGGTTTTTCTAATTAATTCTCATTAAATTAGTATATATAAAAATCTATACATTTTCGAACGTATAAATTTTCTTTCGTATAATGATTCATTGAAATTATTTTGCCGTCTGTAATAAAGACCTTTCATTCAATGCTTAATATTATTATTTTATAAATAAATTAAGAACGTAATTTTAATCCCTGATAATGTATTATATTTATAGCCATATCGAGATAAATTAAATAACAAATTCGGAATGTAATGAACGAGTGGAAAGTTTTATAAATTTCTTTCTTTTTGTGTTTTATTTATTTATTTATTTGCCCATTTATTCACTTATTATTTACTTAATTAAGTCGTACAATGACAATGAAGTAAAGTAAGTTGGCAGTGTTTTTCTTAATAACTAAAAAAAAAAAAAAAAAAAAAAAAAAAAAAAAAATTAAAAAAGGTAGAAAACAATTTCCAAGAGGTGGATTTTGCTGGAGTAAAAATGTCAGTCTTGTGACATGTCTAGATTGGCCCACGTGTTTAACTTATCTCGCAAGAGCGCGTGCGTATAACCTCTGATAAATTACGAGAAATGGGAATGCTTGCGACGCGTGGCATTCGAATTGCGTTGCTTTTGCGATTATTGAGTTTTTCAACAATTAATAATGTTTATTGCACTTTTAACCCATTACTATTAAAGCTTTCTTTTATGAAAACTTTTAAGAAAAATTTTAATATACGTTTATATAGCATTTCTATATGTTTTGAATATTTAATTTAAATATTTTATAGCTTTATGCTGATAATGATATTATACACAAATATTAACGATGGTGTTTGATTTGTCAGTGGTATAGATCTTACGTATTGAAGTTTCAATTCTTTTAAATTAAAATAGTTAGGTTACTCGATAATCACTTAACTTCAATGCTCTATGAATTAGGCAATTCGAGCGAATTATTCGTAAAGAAATCATCACTTTCACTCGTGCTTATTTAAATTTTTAATCAACTTCAATATTCGCATTATTGTATTGATAGAAAATATTACAGACTTGCGAAATCACTTTAAATCATTTTAAACTTATTGATAATTCTTGTATCTTAAAAAATTAGCTTTTATTATTAACATTAGAAAAATTAGCTCTATTTTATATTGTAATGTAGATGCTTTAAATTAAAGTTATCAAATTTTGCATAAGAATGTTATAAATATTTTTATTTTGGATGTAACTACTTAAGAACTTTATATTATATTTATTCCCGTATATTCTTTCATTATAAAAGTACGTTATAAGCAATGAGAATTACATGAAATATATATAAATTATATATAAATATCTTATACTATAATTAAGTATAAGATATGAGCATATAATTTGAATTTTGTTTATAATCAATAAAGTCTCTTAAAAGTTTTTTTCTCTCGCAATTTCAGGATGCCGTTGATAAATCTGATTAAAGGATAATTATCGAAAACATTTTTCAAACTAAGGCTACCTTAGAAAATGTTTATAAAAATTTTACAATAGAAATATTCTTAAAGCGCAACGAAAATTGATATTTTTATAGACCAGGTAAGTAACGCAAAATAATTAATGAAAATAAAAAAAAAAAAACATTTATGAATCTAGATAAAAATTTCAAGTAATTTTTAGTAAAAACTAGGAAAATGGCATACGACGATGTCATTTCCAAAATGGGCCAGTTTGGCAAATATCAGCGTAGGATATATTTGCTGTTATGCTTGCCAGCGATATCGTGTGCTTTTCACAAACTTGCAGGAGTTTTCCTTGGGGCAAAAATGTCTTCGAGGTAAATTAAATATTTTCTTTTTTATGTTTATGATATTTATTTTTATTTATGCTAGTAATATTTGTATTAATTGCCACTTCTTAAATGTATTCATCAATATTCGCAGCAAAGATCCGTGAGAAGTAATGTAACTCAAAGAAATAGAAAGATTACGATATTCTCAGGACTTCTTTTATTTTAATTATCATATTTGGCTATCGTTAATAAAAAAAAATGCCTGTAATGAAATATCGTTGTTATTAAAATTTTTAATAACTTGTAGTCAATTTAAAAATATAGATTCTTAATAATTTCGAATGTAGCTTAAAATCAATACATCTAGAGTCTAATTTTTCAGAAGTCTACATTAAGTGTTTATATGTGTGCAAATATTTATATTTAAACGATAAAAAAGTTTAAACTATAATTCCTTGTACACTTTTGTTGAAACTGTTAGGTAGTTTTGTTAGAATTAGTTAGCTATGTTGAATGCAATTTGTACTTACTTCGCGTATCTCGGTAATTTAGAATAATTTATTGATTTTGTAAAGCAACTAATCCATTAATGTAATTTTTTGTTTGCTTTTAGATGTATGCTGCCTTTTGAAAATATAGACAATGCCACGTTTTTTTTATCTGAAAATTTAATGAACTCGAGTTATCCATGGGATTACAAAAGCAAGTCATGGTCTCATTGTGAACGATATTCAGATCTATCAGTCGTAGATTCGATGAAAATAGATTATTCATTAAACCAACAACATTATTCTACTAGAAATATTACTAAATGCGATCTCTTTGTGTACGATAGAAGCAAGTACAAGAGCTCTACCACATCCGAAGTATGTTTAATAAAGTATATGTTGATTATAATTTCATTGTCTTTCTTCAATTCATAAATTATTAGCACAAATTTTTTTAATTTAATTTCCATTGCATTTGAGCATTATTTAAATTTAAATGTAATAAAATATTCTAAAAATGATAGTTATATTTATAGTTCACTTTGCAATTTGACATATAAAATTTAATAATACATTCGTATATAGATATAATTTTTAAAAGATTCTTATTTAAACAATTTTTATACCCAAATATTCTCTAAATATTTCAAATTTCTATTTTATTTTTTAAATACAAAATAAAATTCAATAAAATCGAAATGTTAAAGTATACATTGATTTACTTAAAAATATTATTAAAAAATTGTATAAAGTTAAATGATTATAACTTTTTAATGTATTAGGTATTTTTAATGTATGAAGAATTTCTTATCTATAAAGTAATATTATCTGTAAGAAATTTAATTAATTAACCAAATTTTTATGGTTTTTTTTTAACTTTCAGTATATTAAAATATGCACACATAAATTGTTTCAACTTGCAGAATTAATCAAATAGTAAGGTGCATAAACTTGTTTTTCACAAATAAATTCAGTAAAGAAACTATTATATTCGTAATAATAAATGCATTGAATTGATAATATAGAAAATTCTAGAATAACATGTAAAATTATTCATTCATAGGATGTTGTAGCAAGAAGTACGTATTCAAATGAACTAAAAAACCAATTTACAATCATAACATTGAATTTTAATAACGATGTTTCATAATTCAGTTGCATTATAAACATACTAATAATTAGATACTTATTATACTTATATATGTATATAAATATTTTGTTATGAAAAGATTAATGAAATATATGACTAATCATACCAATCGAATAAAATGTAAAATATAATGTAAAAACAAATATTCATTATTCAGGAAACAATATTTTAACCAAAATTTCGTACGATCATTTAAATTGAATACTTTAATGAGATGTCAATAATATTATAAAGCGTCTGATATTGTAGATAGAAACAAATTAATAATGATTATTGGAGATAGAAGCGATGCAAATATTTATGAACGATTAATGATTTACTATTGCAGTGGAATTTGGTGTGCGATAAGGATTGGCTTAGGGCAATGGGGGATTCTGTTTTTATGGTTGGAGTGATGCTCGGCTCAACAATATTCGGCGCCCTGTCCGATAAATATGGACGTCGACCAATTTTCTTTCTGTCGCTAGTTATACAGCTAATTGGTGGTGTTGTAGTTGCCGTCACACCAGAATTTATTTCATTTGTGATCTTCAGAGCAATCGTTGGTTCTACGACCAGCGGTGTGTTTCTTGTCGCTTATGTTATTGGTAAATATTTATTTTTTCAGTTTTATATATGAGTTGTATATTATGCACAGTAATTTTTAAGGAATATACTTATACTTTTGTAACAAAACAGTACTGTAAATATTTAAAATTAGACTTTAGCAATCCTATATTTTTTCGAAAAATATTTCAAGGACCGCTTTTTCGTTGTAGCTTTATATTTATATTTTTATTGAAATCAAATATAATATAAGATATTAACATATGATAAACTTATTTGCATTTATACATTAATACCACATTTATTACTTATTTCATTGTAAAGAAAATAATTATTAGCATCGTAGTATTTAATATGTATTTATGACATTTTAACAAATATATATATATATATATATATATATATATATATATATATATATATATATATATAGAATGGTAAATGTAAATGAGTTATTCAATAATAAAGTACCGTATAAATTAAATTTGTTATGATTGTAATTAAATTTAATTCTATATAAAAATTTTACGTTTGAAACAAAACTTAGTAATTCTCTGATATACTGTAAATTTACCACTAAAGAATTGTTAACGATTTAGTATAAAAATTTCTATAATGTATTTATTCAAGTAATTTATTCAATTTTTTTCAACCACTTAAAAATATATATATGTCTATAGTATATGTACGTAGTCTAATAAGAATGATAATCAAAGTGTTTCTTATGATAAATTGAGTATTGTTTCTATTTGATTGGGTAGACGTGAATAGCAAATCAAGCATGAGCATATATAACCTTGTCGATTGGATTATTTTAAAAGTGTAAACAAGCATAAAGTTATTTTTTTTAATTAGTAATTTATTTCGAATCAATTTTATTTATATGTACATAAATGATGAATCAGATAATGACATGTTTAATTCCGTTGAATGAATTAATTTGAAATTCAAGTAAGTAATGCAATACAAACCGTGATTAATTAAACAAATATAGGATAGTTTATATTAATACGCATATGGACACACAAATAGCAGAATGTCAAGCGCACACAGGAGAACATAATTAATATATAATTGTATACACGAACAGGCACGTACATGAACATTATTTCTAAATTTGGATTTATCTAAATCTAAATTTACCGTATGGATACTTGGTATTTTTCGAACAAAATGCAAAAATATCAGCTAAATCGCTAAAATCATTTTTGCGTTTATTTTAATTTCTTTCTTTTACTAAGCTTACATTACTTATACTTATATTTAAAGTTGCTTAATTAAATGAAAATTTCCATTTGGTTCTAAAAAGCTATTAGATGATAAAAATTCACACAGTAATATCATCTGTTTAAGATATTTACTTTATTCAATTATGTATGTAATCCTTGAAAATGCACAGAAATCGCAAGTAATCATTAAAAATGTAGTCTGAAAGTTAATGAACTTTTTGTCTCGATGTTCAAGATTCTTCCTTAATAAAGCAAAGTATAAGCAAAAACAGTAAAAAGTAATGTGGAAGATAGGAGTTATTTATAAGAGGTATTCATGAAACGCTATGACTTCCGATTACTCGTGACGGGTATATAAGATTTCAGATAATTTTAGTTCACTTGACCGTAAGATTGAGCGCGTGTTTTATTTGTTTCAGTCTCGCTCTCTCTCTCTCTCTCTCTCTCTCTCTCTCTCTCTCTCACCCTCTCTCCCTCCATTACGCCGAGTTTGTCTACATCCAGTCGTGTTTCAAGATGATACCAGTAATTTATGCGACAACAATAAAATAGGTATAAGTGCACTTTGGAAACCTGGCAAAATTGCTTTGCTTCGACTGGGAATACAATACAATATCGATATTAAATAATATTTAAATTAAACTTTAATTTACAGTTAAAATTTTTATTTATATTTATACATTAGTAATTACATAAAACTACTTTATATTTTATTATGAAAAAGGATTCTATCTATAAAGAATCTGTTATTTGCGTTACATTTCTATAAAATTTTATTTAAAAAAAAAAAAAAGCAAAATAAAAAGAAAAGGATTTTTCATAAGAAAAACACTGATCTTACGTATATGGTTACAACTAACAATGAATGCAAGAGTTTATAATACAAAGCATTGTTACATAATTATTAATGCTATTTTATATATAATATATGAAATAATATTAGATTTTATGGTTATTTATTCGAGGGCATAAGACTTTAGTCATAAACTTTAGGATAATATAGAGGGAACATAGATAAGGATATTTCCAAGAATATGACAAGTAAAAAATAGGAAAATGCCTTGTGCCTCTATCGAAGAAAAGCCAACATTTTATAATTCCCAATAATTTATAATCTAAGAAAGAAGCATAACATTTTCACTCATAAGCCATAACACTTTTCTTCGACTTTTTTTTTATACTTGTGCCAACGATTATTCGCTTTCTTCATAAAATTACGAACATCTTCGGATCAGCCTCATTGAGTTTTCCGATTACTCAATGTAATAGATTCGAAGGAAAAACGTTCCTTCTCGCTGCTTCAAATTAAAAAGGCGTAGCATTACAGCGATAAACAAAGGATCGCCCGTTCATAATAAGCGGGGGAAGGGGGCATGGGCACGAGTTTACTCTTTGCGCATTATGCGTCCGAGTAGTAGTTGTCCAAGGAGAGCGCAAGGACCCTCGCTGTGCGATACACTACACTTTTCTTTCTCTCTCTCTTTCTCTCTCTCTCTCTCTCTCTCTCATTCTCTCTCCCTCTGTCGCTCCAGAAGCCAAGGGATCGAGCTGACGGACATTGGCCCCGCAGATTTTTACCGAGCAGAACTCGACTTGCCGAGGATCTCTCTCCCGGCTTATTTCTCTTTCCTTCGTCCTTTTGCTCAAGGAGGCGCCGACGTTGAGCCTCTTCTTACGTTTAATACTAGCAGTACGCTCTTAGGCCGCTTTACAGTTCGCCGCTATCGTCATTCGCTTTTTAGCCGCGGTAGTAGCAACCCTTCACCCCTCCCGTCTCGCCATTACATGCCACGCGTTTCATTTTCTACTACCTTTTTTTCGTCCTCATCCTCGTCCTCGTCGTCATCCTCATCTCCATCCCCATCCCCATCCTCATCCTCATCCTCATCCTCATCCTCATCCTCATCCTCATCCTCATCCTCATCCTCATCCTCATCCTCATCCTCATCCTCATCCTCATCCTCATCCTCATCCTCATCCTCATCCTCATCCTCATCCTCATCCTCATCCTCATCCTCATCCTCATCCTCATCCTCATCCTCATCCTCATCCTCATCCTCATCCTCATCCTCATCCTCATCCTCATCCTCATCCTCATCCTTATGCTCGTCCTCGTCCTCGTCCTCATCCTCATCCTCATCCTCATCCTCATCCTCATTCGTCTTCGTAACTTTCTTCTCCTTTTGTTTCTCATAATTATCCCCCTTCGTTTTGTTCTCCGCCGTGTCTTCTTCTTTAACTCGCACTCGTGCCGACATACCTCGGCACTTTTTATCCGAGAATGCGTTGAAAGGGAGCTGAGCTAAAATTAAACTTGTGCTCGATTGTTTTTGCTAGAACTTATACTATAAACAAATTTACGATTTAAAGGCAAAATGGTGAAGAAAATAATAAGGCTGATAGATCTTTTTCTTAATAATTAATTGCATATCGATATTATATTATGTTTTTCAAGTAAATTTTGTCGTATCAAAAATAAATTAGCTATGATAAACATTGATACTTTGACACATATTTATATACATATTGAACAATTTATAGGTATAAAAGATTAAATATAAAATTTGGGATTTCTCGCACGCACACACATATGTATAGACACGAATCAAAGCATTAAAGCTATATTAAAAATTTAGTTCATTCTCATAATTTTTTCATACAGCTTTGGAAATGGTGGGGCCGCAGAAACGGCTAATAGCCGGTGTTGGCTGTCAACTATTTTTCACTGCTGGATACATTATGACAGCTGGTTTCGCCTATTATATTACCGATTGGAGGACTTTACAATTTGCACTTACGATCCCGAGCACGGCTTTTTTGCTCTATTGGTGGTGAGACTTGCTTTCATTTAATAATAAATAAAAAAAAAAATCTTTATATTTAGTGATATTATAATTTGATAAATATTAGATTTTGAGCTAAATATTAGTTGATGTAAAGTAATGGAAAATTTAACGAATGAAGCGTGAATAATGCACATGAGGTACTGCTGTAGGTTTATAATATTATTATTTTTAAGAATATTTTCAGAAACGATATTCTATAATATTTTATAACAAATAGTTGTAATATGAATGTGAATCATTGGAAATATATCAAATAATATTGTTATTTGAGAAAGTAGGTATTATTTATTAAATTTCGTTTAATTTCATTTACCGTAGTTACAAAATTTAACTGAAAATTTAAAAAGTCTTAATAAAACTTATTAAATTCATAATTATTTTTACATTATTATGATTTTATATCAGTTACTATTTATTTCGATTACTGAAAATTGCACGTTTAGCGAAATCTAAATACGTTTCTACTTATTAAATAATGAGGCATAATGTATGCACATTAAAACAATATACTTATATTTAATATTATTTTTTTAATATTCGCTACAAATGATTGGAATACAAATGATGGGCATTTAATAAAGATGCAGAAAAACAGAAACTTTTGTCTTTATTCTCTTGTCATAAAGCTTATGAATTGTAATTGCCGAACAGAAAGTTATAAAATTAAAAAATTACTGTATAAACTTTGGAAAGGAAGTTATGCAAATCATACGACAAACAATAAAATTGATATTATCGATATATCGTTTATCTATTTATAAAAATGTCTAATATTCGTTCATACAGTATATGCGGATCGTCTATATTAACCATTCTTTATACGACGTACAATCAATGTTTCATTATACTATATTAATTATACAAATACAGTGGGCGCTATGTTGAACTGATACATTATAAAATATAAAATTAATTGTGATGATTGTCTCCATTTTTTCAAGATATACGTCAGAAAAAACTTCATACACCTACCTATAGGGACACACACATACATTGTTAACGGGATCGCACAAGCGAGTTATGTAAAAGGATAACTGTGACCCCATTTATGATCCCCGAAATAATTGTCACGTATACTTTATAACATTCGCGGTAGTCGCATGCCTCTTCAGTGATGGACGAGTCGATATTCTAAAAGAATTATACTATGTAAAGTTCATAGAAGTTTCTGAAGAAGGCCTAATGGTACTCTTTTGAGGACTGTTGATGCTAGCCGGAATGTAAGCATGTTTATGCGTCTACATACTTTATCATAATGTTAGCTTAATTTAAATCTAATAAAGAATGATATTTACGTTACTGAACGTGGAGATGCCGTATCGAGTGATAAAAAACATACTTCAATTAATTATTAGCGAAGCACGAATTATCAAAGCATTATTTAAAACTTGTGATAATTAATTAATTAAAATAATGAAACGAATAGTAAATGAAGATTAGAAATTAGAATATAGACTTAATTGCCTTTATTTTTAACGATTCAATTCGACATCCAAGCAGTGAAAAACAATATACTTAAGAGAACATAATACTTAATATATATTTTAATATTTGCATTATCAGTTTCTGTAAATTTTGTATTTAAGGACGAAAGCTTTGAAATATATACAAGTACATGCTATATTTCTTCAAAGTTATAATAACGATATATTATTTGTTAAATAAACGGCTCGTACGTCTTTGGTTCATGAAAGTACAAATCAAAAGTAAGCTCAAAAGATTTGCAAAATATTCAAGTAGAAATATATATATATTTTTTTTTTCCATCTCTCTCTCTCTCTCTCTCTCTCTCTCTCTTGGGCTTCATTAAGGTTCATACCAGAGTCGGCGCGATGGCTATTGACGAAAGGTCGGGCCAAAGAGGCTCGGGAACTACTGCACAAAGCATCCTTGGAAAACGGCGCCGAGATCACAGAATCGACTCTCGAAAGACTTCTCGATGAAACTAATAGCGATAGTACACCCGATACCAAAAAGCCGTCCATATTTGATCTCTTCAGATATCCAAATCTCAGAAAGAAGAGTTTCCTCCTCTTCTTCAACTGGTACGCTTTCTACCGCTTTTGTATTTAACAATTCAATCGAAGCTTTATCGATTGTATATTATGAATAATTGAAAAGATATACGATAAAATTTGTGCTCTAGGAGCTTTACTTTAAAGCATCTTTAATGATATTTTTAAGAAATAATTTAAGTGGAAAAGGTAATGTTATCGATCAAAATAATATCGACTGTCGATAATAATTAATAAAAATGTTTGTTTACTAAAAATTGGAACTAAATAAATATGTGATAATTTAATTACAAGAATTTTACATTCGTATTTTTTTTGGTTTTTTTTTTTTATTTATAAATATTAAGCGTAATAATGAAAAATCAATATATAATAATAAACGAAGACATAATGAGTTTTTTATAGCACAGGTGTATTATGATCCTATAAAAGCTGATCCGTTGATACTTTGCTGCATGTGTATGCACGCATGGTTGCGAGCGCGTTTCCATATGTGCATTCTGAAGAGCTCTCTCTCTCTCTCTCTCTCTCTCTCTCTCTCTCTCTATCTATCTATCTATCTATCTATCTATCTATCTCTCATTCTATATATCGTTGAAATGATCGTCGCACCGTCTTTTATATAGGAAAATATCATTTACATTTTCATCTTTTTAATTTTTCTTTCATTGAAATAGGCTCGTAAACAGTGGTACGTATTATGGACTATCATGGAACGCATCCAGTCTCGGCGGCAACGATTACTTGAATTTCGTCATATCCGGCCTCGTTGAGATACCGGCTTACACTTTTCTTATTTTCACGCTCAACCGATGGGGTAGAAAAGTGATTTTATGCGGATGCATGATAGCATCCGGTCTGGCCCTCGTAGCGACGTTATTTATACCGAGCGGTTAGTGCTTTTTCTTATTTTTATTTCTTTAGTATTTATGTCTTGCTCAATTAAAGTCTCGTTTTATCGTCCCTTTATCGTGTAGTGAGTGCACCGACTCGCTCGTTTTATAATTTAAATAAATAAATAAATAAATAAATAAATATATATATATATATGAATACGCAAAATTGTATTTATTTATAGAAAGATATGAAGGAATTTGTCTTTTTGAAATTCCATAATTTACATGTAATTTACAAAATGAGAAATCTGAATTTTAATTTCTTTATTAATGCATAGTTATCGGAGCATTTCATAAAAATACACTACAAATTATTCGAATAAATACATAATAAATATATTGTATATTTTCCTAAAGTAAATTTTATTATTTTATTAGAAGCTTTTACTATTAGTAATAAATTTGTTGCCCGTTTTTTTATTTTTAGATTTTGTTGCAATGACAAGGTTCTAAATTTCATAACTGTGAAAGTAAATATTTGCCTGGTATTTTATATTTATTACTATCCCTATTGCAGTGAATTATTCATGTAAAATTTATATAATATTTTATTCAATATATCGACGTATTATGTAAAAAGGATTGAAATTCAAATAATTTACTATTATTTAACTGGATATTTTTTCTCAGATATGACATGGCTAAAGGTGACGTTTGCGATGATAGCGAAATTGGTGATCACGTCGTCCTACGGTACAATTTACGTCTTCACAGCTGAACAATTTCCCACGGTTATCAGGAACGTGGGCTTAGGAGCAAGTTCGACGTTTGCGCGAATAGGCGGAGTTATCGCTCCTTATATTAATTTTTTGGTATGGACTGTATACCTTTCGAACACATTTTGATCTTTAATTTAATTCCAATTAAATTTTCTTCATACTATTTCCTTACTGATTTTGTTTCGTTAGGCCTTATATTGGGAGCCACTGCCTTTCGTAATCTTTGGTTTTTGTTCGCTTCTCGGTGGTATTCTTTCCCTCCTCTTGCCAGAGACTTTGAATAAAAAGCTACCGGAAACAATCCAGGATGGCGAAGCATTCGGAATGTGAGTATCGACAACTAGATTTTTTCTATTGATTTATCTTAGGTCCATGTTTAATACATTTCATAATTTTAATTTTTCAAATATATGGTCGAATTTCTTTGTCGGTTGTTATATTTTACAAATACGATTTTTCTTTTTCATTTTTATTCTTAAATGGATTAAAGTACGATGAGCTGCATTTTTCATTGCTATTTAAAGAGGTAAATACTGAAAATTTGCAAATTAAAATGTTAGCTTTTATACTAAAAATAATGTTATGTTATTTCGTAAATAGTTTTAATTTGATTACGTCTATAGATTTTTTATTTAATTATTTTTTTTTTTTTTTTTTTTTTTTTTTTTATGAACTGTTTCATTGAATAAGATAAGTTAATCCGAAAAAAGACTATACACTTACAAAATAAAAATGATGATTTATCATGATTAATGATTCTTAATGATTAAATAATAATAATTACGAAGATTGAGAAGTAATTGATACAGAAAAAATCTACGTATAAAAGATCAATCTCTGATATCTATATTTTTTCTAGATTAATTTTTAGTTCTATATGACGTGTTGTAAAGTCAATAATTGAATAATCAATCATTATAATTAAACTACTAATTAGAATTAAATATATAAATAATAAAAGTTACAGTATAAAATAAAATTGTTATTACAAGAATAGTAATTTCATCTAAAAATTATTTAAAAAATTTTTTGATTTATTTCTATTTATTAAATATAAAAAATATGTATTTTATTACAGAAAATTATCTAAAAATAAAAAGATTGGATTGGAAGTCGAAGATATAAATGGCATGGATGAAGTTAATAATATCAAGCAGGTTAAATTATAAGAAAATTAAAATTGATTATTTTTAATGATCATTCGACAACTTAATAGAATATTAAAACTTTGCGCTGAATTTTTATTGTTTGTCATATATTATTATCACATTATCGGTAATGTAATTTTAAAAAAATGTAAAACATAAAGAAATATACTTACTTTTATTAATATTCTATTAAGTACGGAATTATATAGTACAATTTTACTCTTATAAATTACACGAACAAATTGCAAGTACAAGTTAAACTTCTTTTCATTTACAAGTAAAAATATGATTTCTATAACTAAAAATTATGTTACAATTTGATTTATAAGTTGCGAGAAAATTTGTTTTTATTTGTATTTAACTGTTGTAATACTTTTGTTACTATTTAAATATTACTTTAGATGTATTGTTGAATTATATATAAATATATCAATTTGTTTACATATACATATATAATCGATAAAAAGGAAAACTTCTCGATTATCTTTGACATAATTTTTTCTTCATTCTTCATTTTTTAACAAAAGGCTTAGATATTTTTTTTATAACTCACCATTACCTAAAACATGTATCATCTACGTTCTTATATAAGTACATATTTTAAAAATGACAAATGATGTGAGTACTGATGAATGAATAGTTAGTTGCTGTTGCAATTTCTTTCAAAATTACCACATTTTAAACTAAAGTATGATGAAAACGCGTGCAAGTTAAAGAATGATAAATAATGTTGGGTAAATGTCAGTTGACGAAATTTCAAAATAAATTAAGTAAAATTATTCTGTAATATAAGTCGTTAACTCGTAATTAGATATTTTATATATTGGATTTAAAAATTTTATATTTACGGATAGTTTTGATTAGGTATTTTATGGAGTTATAATTATGAGCACATTTTAATAAAACTATATAATTTATTGCTTATCTAAATTGTTGTAAATAAATTTTTAATAGTTATAACAGTATATATGTGAGTATATGTATGTATTATCGAACAATAACTGCAATGGAAAAACATGATAATAAATTATCTAATATTCAATTCTCTTTTCTCAATAACGTTTGTTGGTGCATCAGAATCTCTAATGATCGTATATACAATTGACAGATTTTTCGGAATACATTCTGTGATTTTACACGTCATAATATTCAGCATAATGTGAATCTGTTTCTGTTCTGTACCTAGCGGTATTTTTATGGATAATGGAGTTAACAGATTTCCACTTGATTCTGAAGTTTCCCAGTCACTTGACGGTAACTTTAAGGACCACCTTTGGGGCGCTTCAGTATTCAATTTCAAATCATCGCTAAATACAGGATGAAACGATATGGATAAATTTGCGCTATTTGTACTGATTTTTGATGTAAAATTATATGTATTTTCTCCTCTATTCCATGCCTTAGCTGGAAGGACTACGGGAATCTGCAATAAAACATTTGTTTACATTTATTGTAAAGTTTTTTGATCAATACATTTTAAAGTAAAAAATTTTTCTCTTTTTAAAGGATAATTTACATAACAAAATAAAACAAGTTTTAAAATTATTATTAAATTAATTTACCTCACATATGTTTTGCACATTAGATAAATCAATTGCTTTAATACAATGATTGTTTGTATCTGTAACATATAATACATTTCCATTTTTATTTAGAGCTAACCCACTTGGCTCATCAAACTGAAAGGTAATGTTCTCCACTAAAGATTCATTTGTATTCTTCATAACTTTGAGCAAACTTTTCATACTAAAGGAGCTTACTGTATTCATTTTAGATGGCTTTTTTCTACCACACAATGTTACACAATTTCCTTCAACATCAGTTTTTTTTATTTTGTGATTATAAGTATCTGCAATATATATCATTTTATCAAAGCTATTCCAAGCTATCCCTAATGGATGTTGCAGCTTTGCTGAATATTTTTGTCCATCTTGATCACCAAAACTATGTAAATTCTAAGATCAAGTAGAATTATAATTAAAAATTTTAATTGCTTATAATATTTGTTTATAATAATTTACTTTTACCGTTGGATTATTATCAGCTCCACAAACTGGTAAAACTTTTCCATCATCAAGACAAACTTTTCTTATTGTGCTGCTTTCACTGTCGGCAAAAAAAACTGATTTTAATTCTTGAGCTACCGCGAGCCCTGAAGGTTGGGCTAAACTTGCTGCATGAGGATATGAATTGTTTCTATTTGCTTCTCTTCCATTTCCAATGATACTAGCACACGTTCCAGCTTTATATTGTCTAAATTTTTGTAAAATTTAATGTCTAAATCATTTAAATGACAACCAAAATAAGCGAGATTTTTCTTTAACATAACTTTATAAACACGCTACTATCTAATTTTTATTTATTATTATATTTTTCAATAATGAATATACAATGTACAATGTTCTTACTTTTTCTTCCACCAAATTGTGTCTTCTAAGAACAGAGCCCAAATTTGATGTGTTCCTGCTATAGCTATTAAAAGTACTGGAACAATTATTCCGTCTTGGTCATGCTCATAAATAGAAACATCCCACGGAGATGATAGTTCTTGTTCTTTTCCAATTTTACCTCCAATATAATCACGTCCTTGATGACCTGTCCCAGCAATGGTAGTTACCATTTTTTCCTCTAAATTAATCTAAAAATATAATTAAATTAATATTATAAAATAATAACATGCCATGACTTTTTTGTTTACTTACTTGTCTGATGGCATGATTTTCATTATCAGCTACAAATATATTATTATTAAATGCACAAACACCTTGTGGTGCATTAAATCGTGCTGTTTCAAAGTCTCCGTTTTGAAAACCAGGAGAATATCCACCAATAACATGTTCAACTTTACCATCTTTTTCCATAACTAAAATACGATTATTGCCTGTGTCTGAAATAACTAACTTTTCCCCAAATTCATCTTGAAATGTATGAATTTTTCCAGGAAATAGCAAACTACCTTTGTGCATAGGCAAAATATGTTGTGCAAGTTTTAGAGGTATAATTTCTTTTGAAATTTGCTTCAACGACATAAAATATTTCAAAGCAACTTTTGTATACAAAAATAATTCCTCTTTATGTCCTTCGCCTACTAAAACAAAAAGGGGCTGCCCTTTGGGACCTGAAATTTGTGTTATCTTAATTTTATTATAATTTGTTGGATTGAGTTTAAAGTATATATTCAAATAATAAATAAAATTGCAGCAGATGAAATAAATAAAAAAATTAAGAAATAAAAATGATTGGCTATCCTTTTAAATAGATATTTGACACAGTAAAAAGCCTAAATATTTACAATAGTGCTTCAATAAAGACACTTTTTATATAATATTCAACTTTCACTTTGTGAAAAAAATTAGTCATTGATTTAACTACTTTAAATATTTATAATTAATTTATCGATATATAATTAGCATTTTATAAAACAAAATTGTCAACTATTTAATAAATCTACTTATGTGAATTATGCATATCCAACTAATATAACGAATATTGTTAAATTAAAAAATCTCAATAATTTATGATCATAAATAATAAGCACTATATTTGGAATGTATATATACTCAAAGTATACATTTAGACATACCTAACATGACTAAACTGGGCCAGCAAACAATACCAATGTCTCGCCACATTGACAGTTTTGCATCGTTTACGACAGGATGTCCTATGTTATATCTTTGAACTGCTGACATAATTTTACTAGAATCTCGTTCATTGACAAATTTTGCACTATGCACACCAATCTAAAGTTTATTAATCGTTAAAATTTTTTTAAATATAAATTTTTCTAAAAGATTTTTAAAATTCTTTTTATACTAACAACAACAAGACCATCTTGTACAGAAAATCTTTTTTCTAAGGCATCTAAATCTGGCAAAATATGCATACAATTTATGCAACAGTAAGTAAAGAAATCTAGGATTACAATTTTATTATCAAGGTGCTTGTATAGAGACAGACTTTCCAAAACATTAAACCACTCCAAACCTATAAATCAAAACCAAAACAAACAATTTTTTTGAAAATTTCGAAATATAAAGGAATTATTGTAAATTATTGAAGAAAAAAAATTAGATCGATTCTTATTTATTAAATAACATTGAACAATATAAAAATATAAATATTAATTTTATAAATTATAATTTATATCTGATTAAAATTAAATTATTATTCATCCTTTAGAGGTAAATCAAATTCTTCATGTAAACTGGCTACTGTAACTCCTCGCATTGTGGCCAATGCACCTAAAACTATTTGTGTAGCATCTTTAATTTCGTTATACTTATGTAGAAGTTCCATTATTTCAAGTATACAATCCTCATTTTTAGATTTTTCTTCTAAGTCTAATAATTCAAGCTCTAAAGTTTTCTTAATCTCTATACAATTCGCATATTCTTTTTTTTCCTCTTCTGTTAAAGCCTGATCTTCCTTTTTTTTGGAATTTTCTTTGGGTGATGTTAACTCTTTTTTTGAAGATTCCTCCCTACTACGTTTAATACCTCTATAATTTAACATTTTTTCGCATTAATAAAAATCCACCGTACCTAAAAGTAAAAAATGTGTTTATTGTATCTTTATATTATAATTTATTATATATGAATACACATATATATATATGTAAAATAATGAAAAAAATAAAGAAAACAAATAATGACTGCTTAACATAACCTGAATTTTGATTGACATTGTTTTTCTAATAATCAATTGTTGTATATATATATATATATATATATAATGATAAAACAATAATTTAAATTACCTCTTTCAAAATCATTAACTCGTAGTCCTGATTCTGCGTAAGCTTTGATGTGCTTTAAAACGATTTGTTCCTTTTCACTTTCATCTTCAGTAGATTCAACAACACTACGAAGTTCTATACAAATTTGCGTTAAATCTTCAACGGTGCTTTGTACGCTCATTTTCATAAATTTTGTACAAGAATTTTTAAAACCGTCAATTGGATCGTGAAAATAATAAGTTTTTGGTGATTTGTGTAAATTTCGTCGTAGCGATGTTGCCAAGCTCAGATTTTTAACTTTGAAAGCTGAAACGAACGCGAGATTCCGTATTAAAATCACGCTATTTATAGAACTACACGGCATTTTCTGCCTAAACGACAATAATATTAATAAGATTTAATGATATCTATTATTGATTCATTATCTTAATGACTTAAAATGTTAGTTTAATAAATACATAATGTTAAGTACCGGCATCTGACTTAAACTGACATAGGATATTTATTTTTATTAATCTGTGCCAATTAAGTAATGCGCATATATAGAATACAACAAATCACGATTTTTACACTGCGTATGTGTTGGTTAACAAACAGGTTACAGCTGATGAGTAATCGATAACGAGCAACAGTATTTTTGGAATTGGAATACGAAGGTTAATCTGTGCATATATGTGAATGCAATTCAGAATAAACCGAATAAATGAATTGCCGCTGTTGAAGAAAATTTCCAGGTTTCCTAAAATTACAAATCTTTTTATTTGTATAAATAGATTTTGATGCTCTATATAAATAATAAATAAAATAAAAATATGTGTTATATATATATATATATATATATATATATATATATATATATATGAGGTAAAATTAAAATTTCGGTAGAGCGGATGACAGTTACCAGTGATTGATAAAGTCAATAATGTAAGCTATTAAAATCTGCATTTTATCGTTAATTTTGTACTTGCCTTAAATTATATTTTCTCAAAAATAAAGTAATATTACAAATTTTTTAGTAAAATCAAATTTCTGTCAATGGATAATAAGTGAATTTATTCATGGAATCTAAATTTTTGTAGAATGAGACGATTTCCATTGTTCATTTAATAAAAGAATTATAGAAGTAAATAAGAAACATACGAACATTAAAGCTATATAATTTTTTAAATAAAAATAATGAAAGATATGGAAATAAGAAAAAATTTAGATACATCGCATTTGAATAACGATCAAATTCCATTGGATCTAAGTCAAAGAATCATTTCCATCGAACAAGATAATTATTCAGTTCATTTGGTAAGTATTTTTATTTAAATATCTTAATAAACATTTAATTATTTTTTATTTTAATAGGAAACAAACAATGGAAATAAATCTAACAACAAAGAAGTTGATTTTACTTTAGCTTATGTTGATACCAGTAATCATAATCATATACAAAAAAGAGAAATATTTGAACGAAGTCTGATAGATCAAGGATTACATTTAGAATATGAACAAAACCGTCAATTGTGTTTCATTAAAATTTATGCCCCAGAAGTAATTTATTCTATCACTCTTCTTTTAATAGAATTATAATTTTGACGTGCCTTACATATTGTAAATAGTCTCAGAATAATAAATTGATCTTTGTTTGTAACATTTATATTATTATCAAAATTGATGCAACAAAATAATTAATTAAATAATTAATTAAATCAAGACTAAAGATCAATTTTCCTATTCAGTTATAAAATTTTATTTTTATAGGAAGTTCTATGTAGATACTGTGAAATTATGAAACTTCGAATGCCAATTAAGTCAGTGGGTAATGAAGATATTATAGAAGAAACAAATATATTTGATGATGCAAGATCATGGCTTATTAAATTGTGCAGTTTTGCACAACTTGATTCTTCTAAATTTCCACCCACAGAGTTTAAATTAGCAGCTGAATATTCCAGAGATAAAGATTACTTGTAGGTATTACATTAAAGTATAAAACGTTTGTTTATTCATGCATGCATGTTGTAGAAGAAAATAATTAGTTGATTTATTTTTCCACTATCTAATACAAAAGATTTGATACCAAGGACAAGAATTTTTTTACTACACATATTCGTGTGATGATTGTAAATTTTATTTTGGAAAGACAGTGTGAAGGTATTCAGCGTTTGTTAGCTGCTGGAGTTTATACTGCTGCATATCCTTTGCATGATGTAAGCCTTATCACTTTAATGTAGAATTTCTAAATTATTGGCTAGTATTAAATAGTATGTTTGTTTAAATTTTGTATGCATTTTTATTACTTAACTTTTTATTAATGTATTATTATCTATACATTTATAAGAATATATATGTAATTTGAAACATATTTTAATATTCTGAATACACGTTTGTATTCAAAATTTATTTAAGGGTACTATCAAACAAAAAGGAACTACTAGAAATTTACTTTTTGAAGAATGGGCTTCAACAAAAAAATGGATAAAATTGCAGCCATTGGATACAATACGAGAATATTTTGGTGTTACTTTCGCCATGTATTTTGCATGGCTAGGATTTTATACTTATATGCTTATTCCAGCAAGTATCGTTGGTCTTTTATGTTTTTTTTATGGTAAAATTATAAATGTTATGTATCCATGTAGTAAAAATTCATTAAACTAATTCATTTTTTTTTTATGTACAGGTCTGATAACTATAAATTCAAATCAATTAGCTGAAGATGCATGTAGTACTTGGGCCAAAGATACTATTATGTGTCCCCAATGTGATAAGACCTGTGATTTTTGGAGATTAAGTGAAACTTGTTTATTAACACGTGTAACGTATTTATTTGACAATCCTGCTATGATCTTTTTTGCAGTTTTTATGTCAGTGTGGTCTATGCTTTATATTGAGTTATGGAAACGAAGAGCAGCAGTATTAAGCTATCATTGGGGATTAGTTGGATGGGATAGAACAACAGATTATTCACGACCGCAATATTTGTCCACTCTTGCTAAAACGAAAATATTTAAAGTTAAAGAAAAAGTACGTTATTTAAATATTTACAAATTCATTTAAATATATCCAATTATTTAAATATATTGCTATAATTTTTGTTGTATTGTAAAATTAAATAATCTATGAATATTTAATAAAAAATTTTAAGTTAATTTAATTTTTTACTAATACTGCTTTGTGTTTTTTATTTTCTAATTCATATTCTATACATCATTGAGAAAATTTTAATATCATTGTACGCTAATTATTGTTCTTTGTATTCTTCTTTATTCTATTTTTATACAAATATTTTATTATTGGAAATAATTTTTTTGTTTCAGATAAATCCTATTACAAAAGAAAAACAACCTCATATAAGTTTTTGGAAAGTACGAGTACCAGTGACATTTTTTAGTTTTACCGTTGTCTTATTATTGACTGCTTTAGCACTTGCAGCGGTATTTGCTGTTGTTTTATATCGAATGGCAAGTATTACTTCAACGTCACTATTTGGACGGGAAGTCGATTCATTGAGTTATAGAACATTTGCGATACCAGCAATCGCAGCTGGAATCAATTTGGTATTTTGCAAACTATTTCACTCGAATGGTATAATTCGTTAATTTGTTTTATCCGCATAATGTGTAATTTATTTTTAGGCTTGTATTTTGGTACTTAATTATATTTATGATTGGTTAGCTGTATATTTAACAGAATTGGAATTATTAAGAACTCAAACAGAATTTGATGATAGTTTAACTCTGAAAATTTATTTATTCCAATTTATTAACTATTACGCCTCGATATTTTACGTCGCCTTTTTGAAAGGTAAATTTGTTGGATATCCTAAGAAATACAATAAAATTCTCGGCTTTAGGTAGGTCCAATTGATGTAAATATTAAAAATTATGTAATAGTTAATGATGAATGTGTTTAAATTAGGCAAGAAGAATGTTCACCTGGTGGATGTTTAATGGAACTCTCCATTCAGCTAACTATCATTATGGTTGGAAAACAAGCTGTGTATACAGTGATAGAAATGATTTTACCAATTTTATACAAGTATTGGGCATTATTTCGTATTCATACCGGTCTTAAGCAGAAGGACCCTATAGTTCCTCGTAGTCAATGGATACGTGATTTAAAGCTTCTTGATTGGAGTAGGTTTTATTTATTTATTATTATTATTTTTTTTATATAAATTTACAATTTAAGTAGCACATTTTTATTTTAAAAATTTTTACAGGTGCTAGAGGATTGTATGATGAATATTTAGAAATGGTCATTCAGTTTGGATTTATAACACTTTTTGTGGTAGCCTTTCCATTGGCTCCATTATTTGCTTTAGTAAACAATGTATTTGAAATGCGTTTAGATGCTGCAAAATTTTTACGACACTACCGTAGACCTGTTCCGCGTCGGGCTCGTGATATTGGCATTTGGGGACGTATTCTTGATACATTAGCTCGTATATCAGTCATGACAAATGTATGCAAATTTATGAATCTTCAATAATCATATAATTTTTTTTATTTTTGCATTTAATTTTTAATTTTCTAATAAGTGTCTATAAAAATTACAAATAGAAGATAATATAAAATATTTATATATTGTTTAAAAAAATTTCTTCTTTCAAATTATTTCTGGCATATGAAATTTAATCAATCATATTTTATTTTAGGGGTTCATAATAGCATTTTCTTCAACATTTATTCCTCGATTAGTGTATATGATTAAAGTTAACTCGGACAAAACAGATATTGGTTTTTTGAATCATAGTCTTGCCATTTTTGATACTAAAGATTTTGCTAATGGGACAGCACCTTTGTATAGTTCCTTCAATAATATAACTATGTGTCGATATGCAGAATATCGAAATCCACCTAATCATATTGAACTACCATATAAAAGACCAACTATATATTGGCATATTCTTGCTGCTCGACTAGCTTTTGTCGTAGTTTTTCAGGTAATTAATACAATTCTTTTTTTATAATATGAGAATTTAATGTTTTCATTTTAGTATTTTGCTATATTATTATATTTTTTGTTATTATTTTTTTTTTTAATACACAAATATTTTTAATTATTTTGATTGAAAATTGTATAATCTAAATCAAACTAAATAAAACTGATATACATAAAATTTAAACCAAATAAAGTAGCATCATTAAAAAAATCGTAATTAAAAGTTGAAATTTAATTTTAGAATGTGGTTGGTGTCGTAACAATGGCTGTGCAGTGGTGTCTAACTGGTATACCACGAAAACTCGAAGCTCAAATTAAACGAGAAGCCTTCTTAATAGAAGACCTAACGATAAAGCGCGAATCCGAAAGAGTTAATAGTAGGATATATTTTAATGATCAACCATTCAATAGGAATGATGATAATTTGAGAAATAGAAAAATTTGTATAGATGACTCTGATAACAATGATTTGTGAACTTTTATAAGTTGTACCTTTTAAATTAATTAGAATATTTTTCATTTGTTATAAAGCTTAAATTAATTAATTTATTTAAATTAAATAATTTTTATTTTTATTTTTATTCGATATTTACGAAGTTACATAGTATAAATTGAATATAAAAGAATTATATGTAATATCATATTTGTTAATATTTTTTAAATTTTATGCGCGAAATTTTTTAAAAATTTCAACTATTATAAAATTGAAAATCGATATATGTGCGAATATTTTATATAAAATATATTAATATTGTATATATTGAATGTCTTGAATTATTGCATTAATTGTTAAATGTACTATTTATGGTATTAAAAAAATAATAATTTCAAAACTTGCCTCTACTTTTATTAACCATGAATATCAATGACATCAATTAAAATAATATTACTGAAAATAATATAGGATCGGAGGAGGATCTAAAAAATGAAATTTTTGTATTTTTTTATACAGAAAAAAAAAATGAAAAAAAATATATATTCATTTTGATTTATTTTTAATAAATTAATCATTTGATTAATAGTGAAATATATTTGGCTTTGAAATAGTACCTAATGAAGAATAAACAAAGTATAATCTCCTGTTTTGTATGAAAATGTATCACATATATAGATTTTTAGATAGTTTTTTTTTTTAGGAAAATTGTTGTCATAGGGCATATTTTATTATTAGAAATTATATTAAATGATATTTATAGGTACAATGTTAATTCGAAACTTGGTCAAATTTTTATATATTCGGCTTCTTGGATTTATGTGAAGTCAGAGACATCTTCCATCAATTTGTATGAAAATTTATTCTGACATTGTAAATTAGTCATTAATGTACGGTAACCTAACATTATTTATGTTTTGTAATTTTTGTTTTTATAAAATACAAGAATTTTAAATCGAGTAATGAACACTGAATTGGTAATTGAGTCAGGTTTACAAGTTATTGGACGATTGATTGATCGACCATCAGTTCAAGATTTAGACAACGATCTCTTTTTCAATAAACTTGAAAATACTGATATTATTGAAATTAAAGGTACCATTTCAAGTGGTGTATCTATCTTGTTAAGTAAACTTATTGCAAAATGTATTTTACCATTGCAGTACAATGGTCTAGGTGTAGAAGTACTTTTTATAAATACTGAAAATCAGTTTCAAATGTCTAACCTTTACAATGTTGTAAGATCTAATGTTTGTGATTTCCACGGACCAATTAATGTAGATAATCTTGTTAAAGAAATGTTAAATAATTTAAAAATCATTAACTGTTATAATCATTCACAATTTTTATTAATACTTAATTCGTTAGATAATATTTTATTGAAATACAAAGGAATAGGTTTCATTATTGTGGACAGTATAAGTGCTTATTATTGGCAACAAAAAGATTATTTATCTTATGATTTATATTTAATAAAAATGCTCAATAGTATTAAAAAAAAAACCATAGATTTCAAAGTAGTAATATTGTATACAAAACAATTTAATTTTGAGTCTAAGAAAAAAACTGTATATTGGTATGAAGAAAGTAAGATTATTCGTTATAAAATATGTCTAACTAAAAATGAAAATTCTAATGAATTAATATGTGATATTAAATCAGGAAATGACAAGAAACAATTACATTATAAAATTAATGAATTTAATTTTATATGGATAGTACAAGAAAATAAACAAATAAAAATTTGATAAAAATTTAGATATTTTTAATATATGATAATAAAATCTTATCCACCACTTCTTGTGGATTTAACAACCTCGTTCCTCCAATAGTGATTATAGGTGATGTTACTTCTTTAGTTTTTTGAATATTTTCTATGGTCCTTATTTCATCTGGGGTAATACCACCAAGAACATATATTATAACCCAGGGAGAATCACAAGGATGATGTACTTCATTATCACCTACTAGATATCTAATAAAACAAATTAAGTATTATGTATTTAAAATATTAATCAAAGTATATTATCAGATTATTATCAAATTACTAAATTTATAAATTTAAAATAAAATCACATTTAAATAAGATATTAATTAAAATATAATTTATAATACTTATATAACAACGCTTTTGATTCTATAAATTAAATAAATAATATTAAAGAACAAATATTCAAGTATATATAAAAAATTTTCAAAAATACTTCAACATAGATTTTGTATTTTAATTTTTAATAATTAAAAATTAATTATGACCATAATAAAAATAAAAATTACTAAATATTCAAAGTTTTTCTTAAAATATCGTTATAAAATAATATACTTATATAGTGAAGGTACAGTGTCAATGAATCCTAAATCTGGCATATACGACGTTCTATCCAATAAATCTCTAACAAATCTCTCTAAAATACCAACATGTTGGGCCATATTATGTGGATTAGATTTATTTATTACTTGTCTATATACATAAAGATATATTTACATTATTTTATTATATGCAATGGTCAATTAATAAGGTAGTTTACCTGTACTTCTTTAGTGATTGCCTTTGTAAAGAGGTTTTATGTAACATTTCCATTATTTGTTCTGTCATTTTCACTGACGCTTCTCTTGTAGCCTCGTCATCGGTAGCACCTATTCTTATAATACATCCACTATAACTATTAAAACATATTATTTTATGTTGTATCGCATATAAGTAATTGCTTACGTAAAAGTAATAAAGTTTGATAATATGCGGAAAGTTCATTGGTCGATTCTACATTGCTAGAATTTTTTATATCTTCGTATATTGCAGTGTTTAAAGCCGTTTTTAATTCATTTTCATGAATGTCAGAAAATTTTATATCTGGACCAGCCAATGCATATAGATAAATTAAAAGTACCAATAAATTCTCCATATCCAAACCCCTCGTTATTCTTGTCTTTATAATGTTACTGAACTATAAACACAAATTATATCGCTATAAAATAAACATTACTTTTTTATAATATAGATCTAAGAAAGATTTACTTGTGATAATACACTTGAAGAATCTCCACTAACTGCCAAATTTTGCAAGATTAATTTTTCTAAACTTATAATAAATTCAATTTTAGCAGTTTTATTTGATTTAAGTGCTTGCACTACTGCAGACATCAACTTTAAAATAAAATAAATACATAAATATATATATATATATATATATATATATATAAGTAATCTTGTAATTTTAATCAAAATTTTACTAAAAAGTACAATTACCTGAAGTTTTTTACTGTTATTAGATAAGGACTCCAGACTTTCTGTATCTCGAAATTTTTTAATATTTTTCTCTAAACTATGAACAGAAATTCTAGTTAAGATTTTATGAGATTTTGGACTTTCATTGCTAGTTGACATATCTATCAACATTTTGTTTAACATTAATAAAACTATTTCTTGTTTCTTATTAAAAAGTATATCCATCAATTCTTCATTATTACTTGCTAAACATCCTGGGACAATCAAAGATAATGAACATTTCTGTTAATTATAAAATTATAATTATTAAATTGTATACATAAAATTTGTTAGTGTAATAAAATAAATAATGTTTACTTCGCTCTTAAGGCTAAGATTGTCCATAAGTACTGCAATATCATTGGAGTGATGTGGTAAATGAGGTAGTGTACATAAGATCCTTCCTAATATCGATTCTGAATTGTAACTGCACATTGTTGATAAATCGAGTAATCTATCTACAAATATTACAGATATTTTCCTTGTTTTCATTCTACTCTGTATAAATATATAATATAAATATATGTAAAAATATTAAACTTTTAAATGTTCATGTTAAAACATAATTTATTTTACATTTGATTTATTCATCATTGTAGAAAAACGGTTTAATTCATTTGCTGCATAATTACTCATTTTTCCTAAAGAGTAAATATCTTGTTTTACATTATAATAAGAAAATAGATGATGAAATGAGGTTATTAAGTGTTTAATGGTATCACTAAATATCGAGTCAGTACTCAATACTTCAAAATCAGATGCAGTTAAATTTCCAAAAGGTGGTGTAACAAATACATTTTTCTTTAAACATGCTACGAAAATTGGCTTAAACATTATCGTCACATTTGCATTCTAAACAAATTTTATGAAAATTATAATACATATGCATATTATAATGAAATATGAAATATTATTTTATTTAAAAATTACCTTTGAAATTGTTCTATCGTTCATCCAATATAATATATCTCTTTTTAAAGCATCATAACTATTTTCATTTTCTTCACAATTAGGTGAAACTGATGTATAATTTAAAATTGTTTGATTTACCGTACAGATTATTATACATTTTTCAAAATTATTTTTATCTATAATTAATTTTAATGTATTTTGGTAAATACAAGCATTCTTTGATGTAGAAATTATTACAGCTTTTTTTGCTCCTTTAGCCTGAACATTCTGAAATAAAACCACATAAAATAGAGAAAGGTATATAATATAATAATAATATAATTTAATAAATATTTACACGCAAATTATCTACAGATAATTCATGAACAGAAATTGCACCAGCATCTTTTAAAGTTATATATGCTTTATCACCCGTGTACCAATGTAGACATTCTGCTGCTGCATGATCAATATAAACAGCTGTCTCGTTTACCATTGACAGAACATCCTTCCAACAAGCATCGACAAACTCTTGTAAATCACCAATCATTATGTTATTGTTCTACTAAGATACATATTTCCTAAATTATATTAAATAAATTTTTATTGCAAAGATACATATAAAATCTCATATAAATAAAATTTCCTTTCATATCTTATTTATATGATTCTCTAATTAAATAAACAATATCCAAAAGGAATCAATTCAAAATTTTTCACTAAAATAATAATGATTATTTGCTTTAAAACGTTACTAAACATTAAATATCATAATAATTGACTGACAATTCAATACTTAACCTATGACACTACAGTAGATGTTCACTTCTGCATAGTGAATAATTGCATGTTTACACGACACATTCAAGAATTATATATGCGAGGTATGAAGTGTTATTTAAACAAATAGTTTAACAAATATACTAAAGATAATATTTATTGATATGTTGTATACTGTAATTAATATAATGTAATTTTTAACAATGAAATCACTTAAAAATAATTACTTGCATAAAATACATATATTTGGTCATAACATAAAGCCGCTGATAATCTAGAGATAAGAAGGTAAGATAAATGCAGATAAATTAAAAAAAGAAAATACATTCAATATCAGTATTATTTTGTTTTCTCAATAATGAAGAATTAGCACAATATGCTTAGATAATTACGAATTCATAATTTAATTTGAAATTAATTTTCGTATATAAAAGTAAAAATTTTGTTCGAGTTTTGAAGCATAATCTTGTTTTTCACATAATATAAGCAATTTGAGACGTTAACATTTTGTCTAAAACATAATAGATAAATCAAGTTAATATATGTTTTTATTTATTCATTTTCTGTTTTATCAAATCTTGTTATTACTTCTCACAACTTCTAGGTAGGTACTCATGTAGACACTTGTATTTTGGAAAAATATTCGGAAATTAAAATATAGATTTTTCATCTCATTTTGTAGAAGAAACAATAAATCGAAGAAAACAATCAACTTTTTTTTTTTAACACAGTCGTACTGAATTTTTGCAGTCTATTTAATATTTAATTTATTTAGAATTATATCAATTTGTTTAATAGCCAATATTCGATTAGTATATTTAATTTAATTATAATTACGATCTTTTACTCTAAATAACCCATATAAAATGTACGATACATGTTTTCAACCACTGTCACAATTAAAAAATGTTAATGATAATAGTAAATTACTATAATAATACACAATGAAATTATATATTAATAATTTATTTAAAAAGCATATATTTAATAACACTTACAAAAGGAGCTTAAAAGTTTTCGAATTTTTTCTAGTTTTCTATTATTACGTATATCATATTATGAGAATGTTATTAATAAATCATTTAATATAAAGTATTTAGAAATAATAGTTTGCTGCAGATAAATAATGATATGTTTATTTATTTAGATGATTGTACAATACATTGTTGCGTATTTTTTAGTCATGACTGAAAATATATCTACTTAATATCAATATTCAATTTTCAAGGGTTTTGATTTTCTTTGTAAAATTAACTTGAATAAATCCTGAAAATAAAAATAAATTTTAATTAAACGATCAGTGTCGATTTAAATAAAAAAAATATATAAGGAGGATTAAGTGTATCGAGCATGGATAAATATAAAAGTCCTTTATTTACTTCTTTATGAGAAAAAACATAGGAAATACACAATAGGACATATCTGTATTCTAAATACTTATTCAAGGTATTTAAATATAATTCATAATAATAATTAATAAAATTATTCATAATAATTCATGGATAAATGTTTAAAAATATAAAAATTGAATGTAATTTTTTTTTTTATATTTCCTGAAAATACTTTAGAATCGAAAGTTTAGTTAAATATATATTATTTATAAGACAAAGAAATAAATATTGAAAATGTGACATGTATTAAATGAAAGTAACTGTAAAGTTTTTCAATATTATTAAATATATTGAAAATCTTAAACTCAAAGTCCACAAATACGTTATTAAAATATAAAATTTTTTTAAAATTATAATATAAGATAACAATAATACAAATGTTCACTATTGATATTTAAGTGTTTATTTTAAAGAAAGTAAGGTGACAAATTGTATGTGAGAAAAATTTATGATATATACAAACCTTCGGAGTTTGTTTCTTCGGCGACAGTAATAGTTTCAAGATTTTCTTCGTCTAAGTTTAAAATTAGCACCTTTCGATTGTCGTTATTTATTTTTAATATGTCTTTCATTTTATAAAAAAGTGATATTGCGAGATTTTTTAAATTTGGTATCACTGAAAAGAGGATGGATTGGTCTTCTCTCAATCTCAGCTCCGACCACAACGTAATTGAATGTTGTCGATATTTTGTATTTAATTTGGATTTACTCTGAAGAGCTTCGATAGAAAAAGCCATGGGATTGAATGTATTACTATTATGAATTTTTTATTAAATTCGTACTTGTAAATTATATTATTAGGGAATCAGGATTAGCGAAAAAATGAAAGACAAACAGGGGGAAAGGAAGAGAGAGCGAGAGAGAGAGAGAGAGAGATAGAGATAGAGATAGATAGATAGATAGATAGATAGAGAGAGAGAGAGAGAGAGAGAGAGAGAGAGAGAGAGAAAGAGGAAGAGAGATAGTAAAAGAAAGAAGAAAGATTAAAAAGTTTCTAAACCTATGTAATCGTCAAAGTCTACTTGCTAACTTCGTGGGCTGAAACATTTTCCACTGAATATTTGGATTGTTTATTTTTAAAGTTATAATATCAAGAGGAGGGGGAATATACTACATTTGAATTTTCAGAATCGTACTTTTCGCTTGAGTCTAATTGTACTAAACAGAGTTTACATGTATTTATTTATAGTTATATTGCCATTGTAGAATTAACAGAAAACTTATACAATTATAAAACATATATTTATTTCGAAATCTTAATTATTATTATTTAAAATAATATTTATTTGGATATAAAATCTTCATTTTTCAAAAATTTATTTTCAATGTTTTTTATTTTTATTTAAATATAATAAATTTATAAAAAATCTTATTTTATAAGTATTATTTATAAATTATTATTCGATATAAATGATTAACGTCATTCTTATTTTAATTTATGTATAATATCGCTTTTATTAGAATTAATAAAAATTTTAAATACAGATTTATGTAATAAAAATTTGATCAATGATCTTTACAAAATAAAATAAAATAATTTTTCATCATTTCAATAATTAAGAAGATGATATTATAAAAATAAATTATATTCTTAATTAATATTACAGTACTAAAATTTAACAACTACATTTCTTAAAATATAAATTTATTAATATCTAAATTGAAACTAATTATTGATAGTTTCGTTCGATTATTTCAAAACTAAATAATCATTTTCATTTTGTGATTTATTTAATTTCTAGTTAATTTTATATACCACTTCAGAAAGTTCATAAAAGTGATTTACAGTGAGAATATAATTTAAAGTGCAATAATAATAATATAAATAGTAAATGTATACAATGAATATAATGAAAAAGGAAAATGTTGATTGATAGAAATTGAAAGTTTTTGAAAATTTTAGAATATAAAATCAATTGAATTTTATAAGCCGCATTAATTTATTTTTGCGGACGTGCGTACGGGTGCGCACAACTCTGTGTGTGTGTGTGTGTGTGTGTGTGTGTATGTATGTGCGTGTGTGTGCGTGTATGTGCGTGCGTGCGTGCGTGTGCGTGTGTGCGCGTGCGTGTGTGCGCGTGTGCGTATATTCTAGAGGAATTCCCCGTTCATCAAAGAACAGTCGCGTTCGCTTAAAATTAAAATAAAATAATTAATAATACAATTTGTTCTTAATTCTGTCAGTCAGTTTTATTAGATGCTCTGTCGCCTAGCTGCATTGAAAAAGAAAAACAATAAAAAATTATTAATATTGCAATTAAAAGAATGCGAGATCGAAGTGTTTACTATTTACCATTTGGATAAGGTGAAGGGTCTACATGAATCCGACGGTTTGTCGTACGTGTAACCTGTTTGGCAATTTATAAGTTGTGGTCTGTGATTCCTACACACAACAACACTCGTGCAGGATTCGGTTAGCCGATGCACTTCGCCATTTTCGCATGGCACCTTCGCGAATTCTTGGGGAATCGTATGCGCTACCTCCCATGGAATCGTTATCGTCGAGCTGCTAAATTCCTCATCCTCTTGTTCCGAATCCTGATTACAAAGCCAATCATACATTTTCCTTACATACGATAGCCGAAATTTTTTTTTTGCTTTTTCTTTTTGTTTCATGATTTTCGTGTAATACAGTTTATACTTGTAACTAAATACTTTTCGTAAAAGCTCAATAAATAAGGTAATTTTTATCTAGAATTAATACTCATATATTTTATCAGTTTTTGTAAAGTTATTCGTTTTTTTTTCTCAAAATTGCAATAGCCTTCTAATTTATCTGTTTTTTTTTTATTTTCTATTATATTAAAATAAAATTAATAAAGCGAGTGAATCGAAGATTTGGCAATATAAAATGATTTGATTGAATTTTTTTATTATGAAATGGATATCTATTAATTGATTTATTAATTAAATGGTCCCTATATAATTGTAGAGTAAATCCAAAATAATATTTTTGATAACATTTTACTACATTATGTTTCTAATCTATGAAGTTGAAAATGCATAATCGAAACGTTTTACGCGTACATTTAGTTGTTTTCTGTTAAAAGATATATCCGTTAAAAAGTTGATCTCAAATAGCACAATAAATGATCACGATATGATTAATAATTTGATAGAATTTTCAAAATGATTCTGAACTTGTTTCATTCTATATTTAGTATTTTTTATTTTATTCTAACTTATATTCTTCAAAGTCTTTTACTCAATCACTTTAAACTCGGGAATAATAAACTATTTCTTCGTATTTTATGAATTAATGGCTACTGTAATATCAGTTTTATCCAATTTCTCGTTAAAAAATAGTCTTGTTAAATATTAGAAGCGATGCCCAGTAAATAAATCTCTTCCCCTCTTTTTTACTTACATTAAGAATGCAAAGTCTGGGTACTGTTTATGCTGTATTCTTAGTATAATATAAGGGAAAAATTTAATGAAACTGAATACCCATTTTTAAAAGCATTTCAGTTTTTAGTGAGAAATGTCGGTTTTATTAATTTTAATTTTAATAATTAATTTTAATCGAATCACCATTGCCAAAAAGCTATAAAACTTTTTCTTCTGTAGCATTCATTATTCTCGAAAAATGAATAATAATTTTTTTTTATAGAATTTTCAACGATTAATTAGCTATAATTTTTAACGAACGCAAAGCCTATATTCTTAATAACCTTTTTAGCTTGCAAATAAGATTGAGTACCGATTATTGAGAAACTTTTGAAGTAAACGAAGCTGACCGGCATTTTGTACGTACATCACGTCTCATATCAATATACAAGTAAATATACAAACGAGCCAAGTCCTCGCAAATCTGCCATTAATTCGATATTTCAATTAATTTGAAATTTTATGAAATGCTAAGCAATAGTGATAGGTTAGTAAGCCGTGTTCATAATAAACTTGAAATATATAAGAATTCAAACGTAATATTTTGATTTTGACGAAACAGTAAAAGTTCCCGATCTATCGGTCATTTATCGAAATGATAAATAATAACGCTCATTAGATAGCGTTTAAATCCATAGAATAAAAGATCATGATAATATGTTATTGTTGTAAGCGAAGAAAGCAGGAGCAGAAGCATAAATTACAATACCTTTTGAGTCTGAATGTCCTTTTCAAGCTCGGATTGAAGAACGGCTTGACGCTGCTGCCAGAATTCAGGTTTCCCTCTCAGCACAAAAATATTCGGGTTGTAGGGATTGATCGGCGAGGGCAATTCTGGTTGACCCGGGTTGTAGGGAGGATTCGGATTGGGCGACTCATTTCCCGGTAAATGGGGCGGGTTCGTTGGCCTATGCGGTGCTTCTGTACTTGGAGGCAGCGGCCTCGGAGTGACAGCGCCCTTGCAGTCCACGCGCGACACATAGTCGCAGATTTGTGTCTCCTGTGCTCATTGAATCGTTATTTGTTTGTTTTTCTCGTTATAGCTTTTACAATATGTGTTGTATTTCAATTTGCTGCAATGGCTAGCGCATGCTAATATTGCGCATTCTGATTTTTACTGTACACCTTACGAATTTTGAGTACAAAAAAATGCAGTTTGCCTAACGTACTCTTAAATCACAAAACTTTTTATACTCTTTTTTTTCAGTTTATTTTAATTCGAGACATCTTGTTATTCATTGTTGTACATGCGATATGTATGTATTTATATAGAATGTATATATAAATATGTAAAAAAAAAAATATTATAAAGAATGAAAGAAAATAAATAAATAAAACAAATTGTATGTACCTGTGCAAGTAGAAAAGAAACTGTGATTTGAAGTTGTGCTAAGGTAACTTTAAAGATCTAATAAGTAATTTCGAAAAGAATTTAGTTTTCAGGAGCGTCGTTAAAGTGTTAATTTATCATTTCATGCTTATATTTATATTTCACGCTGTAAGAATGAAATTTTAATTATATATTTTTCACGAGACATAAGCGTTTAAATTTAAAAATCCATTTGTATCAATTAAAGTTGATTGCAGCCATTTCAAGAAGTGTGATTTAAAATTATATATATATATATATATATATATATATATATATATATATATATAATAAAATATGCTTATACGATAGCATATATAAGAAATTAATATATTTTATTTAAAATTTAACAAGCAAATTGTATAGACTATGTCTTTGTATTTTTCAATATTTAAAAACTTGTTTTCTTTCGTAAAATATAATATAATAGAATATTTCGATTTAGTAGTACGGCATAACAAAAGATTTTATCTGCATTATTATGTTTTTGATCTATATTATGATAAGGGAAAAGAAATTCAATTAAACGCGAAGATAGAATTATTATTATGGGACTTGCTTTTCACCGAGATATAATTTTAATTTTTTTAACTGTGCGCATAACGTCATGCATTTTAACGGACTCATTTCTTGGACTAAGTGTATTTTTATACAACTGACTCAGTAACAATGCGCTTACAGGATGCATTTATAAATGTTTCATGAAATGAAATATCATCTATAATAAAGTCTCGAGTTAAGGCACAGTGATAATTGTGTAATATGGAAAATTAAGTTATTGGCAATAGAAGCGGGTCTGTAATGCGCGATTGGCGATAGCTTATCATTGCATTCGTACATTTGCATATGTACACGCGATGCCTTGGAAAAGAAAATATTAATAAAAATGTTGATTACTTATGCAATCGCATCGACCAATCTTCAAGAGTATCGAGTACGCGTTGCTTTGAAAGGGGGCGGCTATAGCTCCTTGTAAAAGCAATTTATAAATTTAAACTGTTTGATATCGCAGGTGCGTTGCGCTGTAATTGTGATTTCACATTTATTTTTTTTACTCTATTAAAACGATAAAAATTCATGGATAATAGACGCTGGAGATAGACATATGCTTACGTCACTGTAAACGAGTCCTGCGGGGCAGCTGAACTTGATCGGGCTTCCGGCGAGGCAGACGAAAAACTCCGAGCAATTCGTTGCGCTCCTGTACCTTCCATTTAACTCGGGACAGCGCTTCGATCCTCCTGGCAACGACGGCTCTGCACAATAAGCGGAGAAAAAGATTTTCATCAAGTTGCACGTCTTTTCTTTCTCGGCCTTTAACTCTATCCTATAAGCGCTCTCTACACATTACCTTATAAGACTTCAATTTCATAATGATGAAATAGGATTCAACATTCTTAATCAATATGATAATACATGCTCAAGATAACTTTAGTGTTCAAAATGTGCTCCGATGCATTTAAAATAGATTTTGGTTTATTTTTGAAAGTCAAAACCTTCAAACGAGTACTTGTAATGTTGCATAGTATCGTATAGTAATTAATTTTCCTCCTTCCTTCATAATAATATCGCTTTTATTAATTTAAGTTTTAATCTTATATATTAATTTTGAGTTATTAAAATTCTTAAGATACGTTATTTTAATTTTGAATTATTCTTAATGAGCTGAATATTACTGGTCAACATTGCTATTGAAATTACATTTTATTTTTCCCATTCTTCTTAATTGATTCAAGTAATTTGTCAATTAAAAAAAAAATGTCTATGTAAATAAAATAATTGGAAATATTTGGAACTTGTAATAGAAATTACATAACATTATTGTAGAAAATTTTATAATTTCAATATGAAAAAGTAAATATGCAATTTATATTCTTTTTGAGTTATTTACTTTAAATTACACCTTATAATGTTGCTGTAATATCATAAGTCGATCATTTATAACTACTTCCGGCTGGGAAAGTAATTTTAATAACAATGAATGATTAAATACGTTATTTCTGCGACGTATCTCAACCAATAAGATTTTTTTTTGTATATTCCAAAACGTCGAATATATTTTGAAATAATGAAGAATAAGGAATTTTAGAATTTTAATAAATTAAACGGTCGATGGACATGGAAAGTATTTGATTCAAAAACAAAAGAAGAAAAAACTTACTCGGCGTGGGCTTTGGCCGATTGCCACAATTTACATTGTAGTCAAAGTCGCAGTACTGCCTTTTTTCATTAAAAAGGAGTCCGCTTGGACACTGTTGCTCGACTGCCACATCGTCCCAGCAATTAAGATAATGCGAGCAACCTTTTGGGCTTGCGAACTGACCTCGATCACCTAGACACCCTTGCGGTCGTACGGGCTTGCCAGGTTTACCTGGCAATGGTCTAGGAATTTCATTTTCCGAGTTGGGGCTTCCTCCGATCGATCCACTCGAACCTTCACCGGCACCCGTACCAGCACCCGAGCCGGAACCAGAACCGGCACCCGAGCCGGCACCCGAGCCGGCACCCGCACCGGCACCCGCGCCCACACCTGCACCCGCGCCGGCACCCGCACCGGCTCCCGCACCGGCTCCCGCGCCTGTGCCAGCACCCGAACCTGCACCCGTGCCAGCGCCTGAACCTGCACCGCTACCGGTACCGGAACCGCCACCAGCACCAGCACCAGCACCCGCACCCCCACCGGCACCGGAACCGGAACCGGAACCGGAACCAGAACCCGCAGCACCTCCCCATCCAGCGGAGCCGCCAGAACTGCTTGATCCGGTACCCCCCCAACTTCCAGAACCACCAATTCCAGCGGAACCACCGATTCCGTGAGAACCTCCAGCTCCGTGAGAGCCGCCGATTCCATGAGAGCCACCGATTCCAGCAGAACCACCAATTCCATGTGAGCCACCAATTCCATGTGAGCCACCAATTCCATGTGAGCCACCGCTTCCATGAGAACCGCCGCTTCCATGAGAACCGCCGCTTCCATGAGAACCGCCGCTTCCATGAGAACCGCCGCTTCCGTGAGAACCGCCGATTCCATGAGAACCACCGATTCCATGAGATCCGCCGATTCCGTGAGAACTGCCGGAACCACCAGTACCGGATGAACTTCCAGAGCCGCTGGAACCGCCTGTTCCAGCTGAACCACCGGGAGTACCTTGGCCTGGATATCCTACTCCATGATTGGGATAGCCTCCTTGAGGGATGTAGTACTGTCGCCCTTCGATGGATTCCATTGAATTCAGCGAATCCAAATTCAGATTAGAAGCCACTTCTATCGAAGATTCAAATACATTTTTTTATATGTATTGTGCATTTCACTGATTTTAAGGGACGAATATGTAAATACAAAAATTGTAAGGTAAAAGCAATAGCCGATCTGTATTTCAAATTTATAAAACTACAAACAAATAAAACTTTAACTTTAGAAATTGATATATATTAGTTATAAAAAGATGTGTATATATATATATATATATATATATATATATATATATACAAGAGATAAAATAAAATGATAGTTATAAAAAAAAGCTATGTTAATCAACGTCAAGTACACACGTATTATATTTTGTTTTTTGTTAAGTTCCATTTAATATTATAATTTTTGCAAAATGAAACCTCGTTTATTAAAAATTAACCACAAAGTAAGATTTTTATTTATAAAAATATTAAAAATCTCTTCAATTTACCGAAAATATATTTAAGAATATGATTTTATTTGCAGGTAATAGCTGCAAAGTCAAGTATTCTATTGATTTTATACGCAATCTTAGTTTTACATTTGAAAGAAATTATAAATATTTAAAAGAAATAAGAATTTACGGTGATTTATAAAAGAAATGCTTGTCTCTTCATGAGATCAATTAGCTTAATAAAAAAATCTTTAAAATGACAGTAAAAAAGTTTTTAATACAAGATTAACAGATTAATATAAAATGATATCGATATTTTTTATTTGATACGTTGATTATAAAATATAATCATTAATAATATAATTACACGCTCATTTCAAATAAAGTTAAAGATCTTTTATCGTTTCAAATAAATATGTTAGAGAACAGTCTCTCTCGCTAATCGTTTATCAGCAAGGTCAACTCTAAAATAGTTCTAAAATAAGCTAAGGTAAGGAGTCTCGGAAAGCTAATTATTTCCAACGTAAATATAATAAAATGTAATAAGACACAAATCGTAAGTGTGATCGTATGACAGGCTGACGGGGACAGTCGGCACGAAGCCGGAAAAGGGAGTCAAGGGAAAACTTACCGTCGTTCCTCCTTAGCTGTCTGCTTCGACCCCTAACGGGCTGCTTTGCGCCTACAAGCACGAACAAGCACACCGCGATCACGACAATCTTCATCTCGAGCGTGTTGAGCCGAGACATTAAAATAAATAAAAAAACTAACACTGGGGCCTTCCGAAAATCCAAGCGAAGTAGCAAGATTAGTAAAGGCTCGTCTGTCCGCGTGGCTCCTTTAGCTCTCTGAAGATGCGCTGGTCCATGGCTGACCCAGGGCTTACATAGGGCTGCCCCCACCATTGAGTCCTGGCTGATGCCACGCACAGGACCCCAATTACGCGCCTCGTGTCTTCGTCTCTTCTTCCCTCCCCACTCCACCCCCTCTCGATCATTCGTTCCTCTCTCACTCGCTCACTCTCTCGTTCTCTTCTTCGGTTCGCATTGCGTGCACTTCCTGCAACGCGCGCGCGCGCGCGCGAGAGAGAGAGAGAGAGAGAGAGAGAGAGCGTGTCCGTGTGCGCGTGTGCGTATGCTGTATCAAAAAAGGGAGGGAAAAATAATGTGTTCGGAGGATCGGCGATTCTAGGGGAAGGGATTGGGAGGAAGCGGGAGGGAGTGGGAGGGAATTGTAATGGGAAGGGGCTACTGATACCGATTTACGATAATTCCTTTGCTTGCATAAAGTATAACTCATCTGTATTTCTCACGTATTTGAAGGATTTATGCGGTTTATTTTAGGGATGCGAGATATAATTCCTATACAGGAAAAGAGTTTTAATCTCTCTAAAATAAAGGAAATACTTCTTGATCGTTAAATCGCATATCTATTCAATTATTTCATTGACTTGCATTAGGAAAAGAGTATTTTGTTAGCAATAATCAATATTGAAAATAAAAGTAGTAATAATTATTAAACGAGGGAAAATTTCTTCTAGGCTTATTAGATAAAGTTATTTTAATTCGGTATAATATTACACCATAAATACAATGGTGTTCGATGTTTTCTTCAATTGCAATTTCATTCATTCCAAGTGGAATTCCATTTGTACGATCAAGCTTGCACAAATAACACTTTAAGTCAAACGGTTAAAATGTCATGAATTCTCAGAAAACGTTTTTCGGAAAGTACTTATGACATTTCACACACAAGAAATATATTTTTTTGTTATAAGTAGAAACAGTTTATTCGTAAATTTATAAATTTTTTCCCATTTTTCTTTTTAATGCGCTTTTTGTCTGTTTGTTTGTTTCGTTTTGTTTTTCTTTTTTCTTTTTCGTTTTTGCCCACAATAAGCCAGGATTTTATATCACGGAGTATTGGGAGACTTGAAGATCATTTCTTTTTCAGTTAGTCGAGAGTCGTATCAAGAAGAGATAACGTTCGTAATAGTAATCTATTTGCTTTTTACAGCCCTTTGACAGCTGTACTTAGAACCGGTTGGAGCTAGAAGATCATCACGTTATCATTATGGTAATGGGAAAATCTTCGCTTGACGACACTCTTTTATGAAACAAAACTTTGCAGTTTCTATTTATTTTCAGTGTATTTGTTATTTTTTTTTCTTCCTTTTTCCTTCCTTTTTTCTTCTCTTCTGAATACACTACCTGCAGCCTACAATTATTATTATTACTACAAGCTCTTGTAAACATGTTTTTACTTTTTAATATTTATTTCGATATAAATACTAATGTTTATTGTACTTGAAAGCTTAAATAAGCATTTCCGGAATATAAGAGGCGTAGATAACATAATTCGAATGACTTTTTGATTTAGTTATCATCTGCCTTTTGGCACAAGGAATATAAGGATAAGTGGCTTAGAGAGTCGCACCGATAAAAAGGATAATCTATTTTAGTTGAAGCTCTTTTGTTTTTAAATATGAATTTTAATTTTATAATTCTTTACTCAATTTATAATCATTGGATATTAAACATGAAAGTAAATGTGATTAATGAGAAATCGCTTAAGAACATCGCGGTAGAAAGAGACCTATAGTATTTAAGAGAATACTTATTAAAAACGTTAGCTACAAAGTAGCAATTTTGAAGTGGGCAGTATTAAGTAGTTATTTAAATTTTAATTAAATTAAATGTTATTTAAAAAGAAAGAAAGAGGAAGAAGAAAAAAAAAGAAGAAGAAAAGGAAATAAGAAATAAGCTACAAACCTGTTTAATACACGTTGATTCATGATTTTTAATAGAAAAATTGACTAATCGATGAGAAATAAGCGTCAATGAACCACGTATGTTTGTACATAGTTCTTCATAAATACATTTACGGCTAAAGTAATACGTATACTTACAATGTGACACGTATCAATTTCCATGTCCATCTCGTAAGCCTATGCAGCATGAAAAAAGGATGCAGTAGTACTTACGTACTTATTAACAGGAAACAAACGTATGTTAAGACAAAGTTGCACTGACACGTGTTCTAGCAGGGGCAATGAATGGCTCCTGCGCTAAGACGAGCGAGCGAAAAGATTTTTAAATGGCTCAATCACGTAATGCCGTAAAAAAGTCAAGAGATTATAGCGGACCTATGTAAAAAATCACTATGCTCGGGACGATATGCAGCGCTGTAAAAGTTGGATAAAAAAAAAATAAAAAAAAAACGGTATGAGCTGTCGGCTCGAACGATTGCGTGTGTATGGGGTTGATGGCGGTGTCGGTGGGGCTGATGGGTGAGGAGGGGGAGGGGTGGAGAGAGAGAGAGAGAGAGAGAGAGAGAGAGAGAGAGAGAGAGAGGGGGGGGATTCGAGCGAAGATAATATGTTAAATGAGCCTAATGGTTAGAAACCGGTAAGGATGGATTTTTTATCACTATATTTACGAAATTCCCGCCATTGCCACCTGTTCCTTTTTCACGGTGAACGCTTTTTGTTCTAAATAGCGTCAACGCGACGGCAATGGGGCGATGTTTTGAGAAGGAGGCACGGTAATTTTCTTTGCCAACCTTGACTCTCTGGAAAATGAAGTTCAGTCTATGAACATAGGCAATTTGCGTTCAATTTAAATACTCAATAATGTTAAAGTCGACAGGCTGCAAGTTTGTAACGAGGGTTGAACGTTATTTTTATAGAATATCGTGACGAGAAAATCATTACATTCGTTCAACTTATTTTCTTCTTATAGCACCGACTCTGACGCTATATTCTTATAGTATATTATACAGAAGAGACTCTATTTAAATATACATTTTTTTGTGAGATTAACTACATTATATATGGATTATTAATCTGACAATATATTTTTTATTCTTTTAGAAAAGTTTCCTACTCAAATAATTTTAAAAGAAAGCGTTATCTCAGTTTATTTATTTGAAATCTAATTTTTGCATAAATTATTTTATTTCACAGGGTAGTATATAATAAGCGATGTCGAAGGCTAAAACAAAATATGATGAATCATGTTCATTTCTATTAATATAGTGTGAAGCATTAATAAAGAGGAAATGACTTCTATAACGTTAAAACTTATTAAATAGTCGTATTTTCTCTCATACGATGATCAATATAAGCAGCATTTAATAACGATTAATTACAGAATTCAAGAAAATTCCATTAAAAATAAATAGATAACGGACAAATAAATAAATACATGTAGAAATAAATTCTTGAAAAGAGCAGCATTTCATGCTTTTTATCGAAAAAAAATTTCATAATAAATCTACAATTCTTACCTTAATTAAAGCAGAGCATTTTATTACATACAAAATGAACTTATTTTAATTAGTCCTTTGAGAGCATAGTAGTCCTGTTAAAAAAAAATCAAATTCTTCTTGGCCAAAGATACACTATTTAAAGTAACAGATTACGCCGAAAGTAAGGGATACTCTTCGTAATAAAACGATCGTTAGCAAAGGAGGATTTGATTTTTTCAACTAAGGTACTTAGGCAGTAAATAGCATCCCCTTCGGTAACCCATTAAAGATTATTTTCCTCTTGGATCTGCGTATATGCACATATGTAGCGAGAGAATTTTTAAAGAGCGCAACATACTACCCTCATACCGAGAAGAGCTAAGAGGAAAACCAAAAAGTAAGAGCAAAAAAGGACGATGAAGGAGTGAAGCGAAGAGCAAAATCACGTCGCATCGCGACTTCCTTCCGAGAAAAATTAAGCATGTCGAATGTAACTCAACGTGCGATAAGGATAAGGGATAAGGCGCATCATTTTGCTTTGCCTCGGCTTTAATTACAGGTGAATGTAAGTCTGCCATGGATCCTTGTCCGCGTATCTGAGCTTAAGCTTTGAACAGGCTGCCATGTTTTTCCGGATTTGCCGCATCCTTATGGAATCCTACTTTTCCAATGTTCATACAGAGTAGGCCAAGGATTACGAGTGAGATTTTTCTAAATTTCAACTCTTGCAAGCACTTGTAAAATTCATGTTTTTCTTATCATAAGCGTAAGGCAGAATCTTATAAAAGTGATTATATCCCCCCTTTCATTTTTATAGAGCTAATTTTGCTTGATTTACAAAATATTTTATGAATTATCTCAAACAATTACGAATTAATTTTACATAACTTCTCTGGGTAGGCTTTTTTTCGTCTGTAGGACGATAGGTATAAATAATTATTTTATCATGAATATCTAATATTTGCATTACACACGATGATAATTTATTAAATTAAATAATAAAAGTAAATTATAGTTTGCATATGTAAATAAGATTTAATTGCGAATAATTTAGTGTACGCGATATATATATATATATATATATATATATATATATATGTATATATAATGAAAAAAAAGAGGCTTCATAAATCTAAATTGTATTATTTATATTAAAATTATACATTACATAATATTATTGTACAATTTTTGTAAAAATTAATGATACGGATCAATATATTCGTAAATAAAACAGTAAATTAGTAAATTTTACATTAATTGCGTACACTTTTTACGAATCATTTATTTTCATTCTTGATAGATGCTGACTCACCTTTACAATAACGATTTTTTTTCTTAAATAATCCTTGCCCATTAAATAAATTTTTATACTTCATCACTATAAACAAAACATGTTTCGCTTTCTCGTAATGGCTTCCCCATTTCACTTATTACAAGGATGGGATGGTTTAAAAATTTTTCTTATAAAATGTGATACACATTACTGAAAATTTAACGTCGTTGTCTCATACTAGCATAAGTTTCATAAGCTATCGCGCTCGTCAGAAATCCGTAAAAGGAACTTTGTAAGGACCAGTTTTCATTTCTATTTGTTTATATTTTATGAATCAA